AGTCAACAGAATGATTTTGTGTTGCTCATTTTTCTCAGGTTTGGGAATTAATACATTCAAATCACAAACTCCACCAAGGTCTTGGCTTTTGTTCTTTGGGGTGTCACATGATGTGACAGTCACTAAGACTCAACAAATACACAGGCCTAGACTTTCAGTCTTAGATTCATGGATACATTACCATTACATTAGAAAGAACAGTTGCATCCATTGTCCTTCATCTAAGTCTTAGAGCTTTTCTTTAAAGTAGAATCGATGAATTTTACCAGTAAAAGTAAATAACGGTGGCCATTTTCCAAACTGGGTGGCAATTTTGGAGTAGAAGAAATTTTTTTTTAAGATTCACATTTTTATCCCATGAATTTATCATCGAATTCAAGCACCTACCACCATTTGGAATCACGGTTATATATTTAAAATTATAGATTAAATTAAATCACAGATTAAATTTACAATCTCTCAGCTTTAGCTTTGGTCTACCTTGTCAGATATATTCTTTACTTTGCCAGGCACGCTGGCACACATGTGTAATCCACAACTGGGGGAAGCTGCGGGGGAAGCTTCACTCCTTTTTCTGGGCTACACAAGGAGACCTTGTCTCAGAAACAAAACAAAACAAAATTAAAAAAAACATAGACACACACACACAACAATAACAGTAATAAAAATCATTCCATTTCAGTTTTGCATTACGTGACATCTTGCTTAATCTCACACATTACCGTGGAGTTACTGGGTGTCCTGCATCTTCAGGGCTGCAGGACTCACAAACATGAGAGAGGATGATTTCTAATTCATGGTACCTTGTGAGATGCTAATATATTTGCATCACAGTTGTATATTTAAACTACTGATTAAATTAGACTACATGCTAAATTAACTTTTCAGAGATAATATATTGAATTCAAAATAATCAAATTTATAACTACATTATAGAGATAAATTCCAATTACAATAACCACTAAGACTGAAGGCTCATTTTGACTGTGACACAGGGAGGAATTTCTAGAGTATAGAATAGTGATGATTTCACTCATTTTTCAAAACTAATAAACTTCATTTTTAGGAGCAGTTTGGGTTCACAACCAGATTGGCAAGTACAGAGGCACACATGCCTGACCACTCCCACGGTTGACCTGCACCAGAGGGGTGCATTTGCTCTAACTGGTGCAACACTGAGCCCACCCCTACCACCCCGTGTTCACAGGCTGCATTGATGTGGTGCCTTCCGTGGATTTAGACACAGGTGTAACGACACATCTCCACCATTGTAGTTTTTTAGAAAAGTTTCACTGTCCTGAAATTCCTCTGTGCTCTACCTGTTCATAGTTCTCTTCCTCAAAGCCCTGGCAGTCATGCAGCTTACTGTCTATGTAGATTTGTCTTTTCCAGAGTGGCATATAATTGGAATCATACAATATTTAGCCTTCCCAGATTGGCTTCTTTCACCTACTCAGAAATACGCATTTAAGTATCTTCCATGTTTTCCCAGAAATTAATTGTTCATTTCTTTTTAGTGCTAAATAATATTCTATTGTCTGGGTGAACCAGTTTATTAATCCATTCACCTAATGAAGGACAGCTTGGTAATTTCCAAGTTTGTGCAGTTAGGAAGAAAAAACTGTTAAATATATCCACGTGCTGGTTTTTGTAGGTTTTCAGTTCATTTGGGTAAATACCAAGGAGTGGGATTGGTGGATTGTGTGGTGAAAGTATATTAGTTTTGTAGAAAACTGCCAGGCTGTCTTGCAAAGCGGCTGTACCATTCCACATTCCCATCTGCAGTGAATGACAGTCACTTTTCCTCCTCGTCCTCACTAGCATTGGTGTGGTTAGTGCTTTGTGTTTTACCATTCTAACCTGAATAGAGTGGTATCTCATATTTTAATTTGCAGTTTCTAATGGCATATGCCATGAACTACTTTTCATATGTATATTTGCTATATTTATATCTTCTTTGGTGAAGTGTCTGTTCAGGTCTTCGCTCCTTTTTTAATTGGGCTGTTCTTTTCCTTACTGTTGAATTTTAAGAATTCTTTGCATTTTTTAGTTAACAGTCCATTATCAAACATATCTTCTGCAAATATTTTCTCCTGCTTTGTGGCTTGTCTTCTTATTCCCTTGAGATTATCTTTCACAGAGCAGAGGTTTTTAATTTTAAAGAAGTCCAATTTATCAATTATTTTGTGATGCATTGTGGCTTTTGTGTCATATCTTAAAAGTCCTCTCCATACTTAATAATTCTAAAATTATTTTCATCTTCCTTGAATATAGTTACAAATCTCTTGTGGAATTTCAAAAATATGAGAATGATGAAGTTGACAAGTGACAGAATTAGAAATTCACCATTTTAATTTGGGAGTGTCGGAGAGGGCACCTGGCCAGCTCATCTATGTGTGCTGCACTGTAACTTTACTGTTGGGAGGGAAAGAAAAATTTTGTATGTTCTCTAGTAGTAGAATTGCTCATCTTGACTGGGAAGTAAATTCAGGAGAGTTAAAGTGTTTGCTCTTTATTTTTTATCTGATTTTACATATAACATATGCTTTTTACTAAAAAACTCAAAAAAGCACAGAAATGTGTAACATGGAAATTAATAATGTTTTGTTTTCATATCTCTGATGCCATTCCCTTGTGGTAGCTGCTAACTCATATTCTTCCTTCAAGTTTTTAACGTATGCTGTAATTGTTATAACTATAATTATTATCAATACATATTAACACATCACAAATCTTACTCTGGACTAATTTTTTTCACTGATAATATCTTGCATGTTTTTTGGTTATATAGATCATTAGTTCATCAAAATATATTTCATTGTTTATCACTAATCAGCCACTGCTTATTGTTGAATATCTATGTTACTTCTAATTTTTTCATTTTTAGAAACAAGGCTGAAAATTTTATTTTGGTGCACTCAGAGCATTTTCCTAAGAAAAATTCTTTAAGTTGAATTGCTGATTTAAAGGATACACATGTATTCAATTTTAATTGCTAGTGACAAATTACCTTCCAAAATGCTTACATCAGTTTAAACCTCTGCTTACTCATTTATTGATCACCCACTGGTTATTGTTTACCTTCTTCATTCAGTTTGATAGACAAAAGAAATCTTATTTTTAAGCTTTATACATTGATATAATAATATAGTATATAATATTAGTGGGGTTGAACATTTTTGATGTTTATTTTTTATTAAAATACAGTATATAATGAATGTGTTTTCTAGGTAAGTACTTCACTGTCTTCGTAGTTCAAACATAATTTTATACGTAGCTTGTTTTTTCTTAATAAAAATTTAAAGATGTAAAGTTAATAGATTTTCTAAAGTAACTGGATAAAGTGATGTATTTCGTTTCATTCTGGTTTTGGCAGAGACTATTCTGTAAAGGCCTTTAGTTACTGAGTCTTGCTGGAAATGTCACTTCACAAAGCTTAATTTAACTGACAATTTACATGACACTTGACATGACATCCCTGAAGTTATAAAGTTGATAATTCTGGTGGTGTTGACAATATGCTCACCACCTGGTGAACAGTGAAAATTATTTTGACAGTGTATACCCTACCCTACAAAATCTGGATGTTTGGCTTTATGCTTTTTCATTGCTTCTCCCTTCCATGGTCTTTTTCTTCTTTCTGTGTCTACTTGTCTCTAATTGCTGCTCTTTCCCAGGTACTGGACAGGAAGGAACATGCATGCTTTGCTTCCTACTCTCCTTGCTGAAACTACTTTCACTTTCAGGCTTGCTTAAGGTCATTCTTTTCTGTCCAGATTGAGTAACTGTGTACATTTTAAGGTTTGGAGAGAAAACTAAGGCAGGCTACTCTCCTAGCTAGCCTGGGCCTTGGTCTCTTGATACAGCCCTGGTGTTTATAACCATCACTGCTGCTGTTAGAAAGCTCATCCTGTCTGGCAAGGCTGCAGGGAGTGTGAGCAGGGCTTCTTCCACTTGCCTTCTGTGGCCTCGTTGACACGTTCTCCCCATGCCCAGTGCCATCCTCCCCTAGGACATTGATGGTTAGGAGCGAGGAAAAGATAGTTCATTGTCAGTGTCCATGAGAGTTTAGTTGCAGCACCCACGAAGGATATGGAACCCTTGAACACTCAAGTCCCTTGAATAAAATGGCACAAAGCCCAGTGTGGTGGTGCACACCTGTAATCCCCGCCTCTGGGAGGCTGGGGCAGTGCATTCACAAGCTGGACTCCAGCCAAGGCAATTCAGGGACTTAGTGAGGCATTTTTAGGTCTATGGATGCACCTCGAGACCATAATCTTAACTGAAATAAATCAGACACAGATAAATATCACATTGTTTCTCCCAAAGGAGCAAACTGATGACAGACACTAGGAAGTAGGAAGAACTTTTTAAGAAATGGGAAAGGAGCTGGAGATGAGGGGAGGGGAGAGGGAAGGAAGATAAAAAGGGATTTAAAGGAAAAAAAAAAAGAAGGAAAAATGGAAATAGAGCTTTTGCTATTGGAGAGAAGAAGGGTTAGAGGGTGGGGAGGGAAAGGGAACAAGAAAATAAAAAGAATTAAGATGTATTATGCACACGTACAAATTCCCCTGATGAATATGTTCATGTATTGCAAACAGGTACTAATAAAAAAGAATTTGATTATGGCTAATATTATAAATAAAAAACAAAATACAATAAATAAATATTTAAAAAAGGTTGGGGACTTATCTCAGTACAAAGGCTCTATGTCCAATACCCAGTACTGAAAAAAAAGAAAAAGAAAAAGATGATACAGTATTAGCATACAATACGTACCTATAGTACATACATATTTACTTTATCTGTATGTCTATATTAGCATATGCATATTCTCCTGTATACTAAGTCATCTCGGGATTACTCATGATACCTAACACAAGGTAAATGCTAGAGAGAGAGAGTGGTGATACTGTACTGTTTAGGGACTAACAACAAGAAACAGTGCCTGTGCATGCTGCAGTACAGACACTGAGTATTTTCCTGAATTTAATCCACAGATGTGAAGGTGCTGAACACACAGATGGGGTGGACTGGCTGGACATACCGGACTCCCCTGACCTGGCTCAGTGATCTCCACTTCAGGACTCCACTGCATCTATGCTTAGGAACTGTGATAAACACTGCCCTTGGATGTTTTCACTGGCTACTCCCACATTTCCATTGCAATACCAGACTCTGGGCTCTAAATCAGTTCCTTCTTTCATCTCCCCTCTCATCTCTTTACTCACCTGGTAACAGCATCCTGCTTGTAAGGGATCTTGGTTGGGCAGCTCCAGAAGGAGCCCTGTCTCCCCTTAAACTTTTTCAAAAGCACTCCGCCCAACACAACCAGCACATTCTAATTCAGGGATCCAAAAAAACCACTGGGCCCTGTCTTAGGCCCATGCCCTGACCCTGTCCCCCACCTCCTACCTCTGTTCCCAAACCACTTAGCATGTCAGACCATCTCCGTCTCTTTCCTGCTGATTTCAATCCAGTTACCTTATTCTGTTCTGATTCATTTGTTCATGGCTTCTTTCACCCCTGAGATATTTGTTAATCTCCCACAAGGTACACAATACGCTGCTAAGTTCCCTGAGAGTGGAGGGGGGAAAGTTAGCTCATCTTTCCACAAGGAATTTGTAGTCTAGACGTGACCCAGGCATTTGGTCATAGAAAAGTTGATACTGCATATGATTAAGTGACAAATGTTTGGTACAAGTTGATACAGGCAGTAGGTGCTGGGGATGTCAAAGAGAGAATTTCCTTTGAAGGGAGGGTGGGATGGGTGTGTAAAGGAGCTGGCTTTGAAGCAAGGGTAAGATATGAGAGGCAGAGGAGGGTGAGTAGATTCCACAAGGGAGGAGGAAGATATGGTCTAGGGACAGCCCAGAGGGAATGGACCAGATGTGGGCAGACGCCCCTCCTGCAAGAACCGACCAGTCATTTGTTTTAGGAGTGCTTGAACATCACCAGTAGCCCTTTTCCTTTTTTTTGCAGCAAGATTTCTTTTTCTTTCTGTGGTGCTGGAGATAGAACTCAGGGCTTCACATTGGTTTTGCAAGTGCTGCACCACTGAGCCCCTCCCTCCCCAACACACAAGGCAAAACTCTCAATGGGAGCCCAGAAACAGAGCCCTTCTGCCTTCTCATACATGTCATGAGGTTCAGTGCATATCTCTGCTGCTTTTCTGCGGCTCTGATGAGTTGTTTCATTCTATCACTTTAATGGTGTGCCTGCACAAGTGTGCATGTATGTGTCTGCTTTGAAAAGCCTCTGCCTACTCCCTCACACACCTGGAAGCCTTTCATTTACGTGTATGTGATGTCTTCAGACTTGAGCCTAAGTAGATGGCATGCTCTTTACTCTCCCTCCATGCCAAATTAATATCCAGAGTACAGTGTTGGTACTGAGTTGATCTTTGGAGGATTCCATTGGTTTGATTGAGAACATGATCTGTTAATTTCTGCCTAACTTCTCTCTCTCAGTTTCTCTCTTTAGCTATCATTTATCTATCTGCTTCTTTCTGTCTCTGCCATCACTATTATTTATGTATCATCTCTCTCTCTATATATAATATATATAAATATACCTGAATTTTTAGGAAAAATTGGATAACTAGTACCTTTTATTTGTTGACCAAGTAATTTTAAAATCATTAAATCCAACAGAGTTTCAGAACAATTGCTATTTAAAGTGTCCTGGGTTATTTCCACACTCAAAAGAAAAAAGAAAAAAAGTTTTTTTTTTAATTGGAAAAGTTTGAGTATGGAGAAAATAACTCTGTTTCCCTTTCTATCTGGTCAAACAGCCAACACCTCTTTGGCCTTTTCCAGTTCTTCCATAAATCTTGGCTAATAAGCCCTGGGTTCAAATGAACAAGAAATCTCAGTAGCTGAGGAAAATCCACACAAACTGGAATTTTGCTTACCTTGGGAAAAACCACTTATATGAAAGGAAGGACTAAAAGGATGTTCTTATTCTGATTTTCCAGGTGTAATATGTGTTCTATTTAAGCCACTAATTTGTTATTTGTAACAAATATGTTATTATGTTACGCTTTATACGTTATCTGTAACATTGAGTTTGGTTCATTCAAGTTTTTTTTGGTGTCCTAAGTTTTTCTCTGCATAATACACGTTTCCTTGCAATCAACCCCATTCCCAGCGAAAGCCAGCCTCCAAGTTCTCCGTCCGTTCTTCGTCTCTTTCCCTTTCCCTCCTCCCTGGGCCTAATTATGAAACAACTTCAAATAAATACAAAAATTTTTAAACAAAAACCATTCTGCTTCCTGTGAACAATTCACTCATTTTTTCCCTCTTTTCTCTTGGAGAGCTCTAATTCAGTTGGAGCGCTGTGGAGTTGGCTAGGCCGACGTTTCTGGGAGCTGTAATTGTGTCTCATTAATTCTTACAGTAATGTAGGATAACTCTAAGGAACACGCAATTAGTGGCTGGTCAATGAACAGAACAGTTAATCAGCAGACAAAGAATGGGGCTCAGGACCCATTAGGCCGAAGGAAGTGTGAGGAATGCCCGAGACAGGCCTGCTCCTCCAGGTCTCAGAGTGCATTGTGTGTCTTTTTGCTAAGCCAGCTCTCTAGGTTTTTCTTCCTGTTTTTCCCCCCCTTTAAATTGGTGTGGTATGTGTTTATTCAAACACTTGAGAGATTCCTGAGCACCCTGCAATAGTACACCATGCATTTTTCTCACCTCACATTAGCTGGCAGAGCCCCTCCCCACCACCCAACTGTGCAAATAGACCCCAAGTACACACACAACAAGAAAGCACAAACAAGCCCAAAACCAACCAACAACTCTCCACAATAAAAATGGAAGAAGAAAAGCACAATGCTGATTTACTGAAGCGAGCTGGAGACAAAGGTCCTCAGCTGACCCCTCTGTCATCAGAAAAGAAATGAATGCTTGAGACAAATAACATTCAAATAAGCCTTTGTGCAGTTGCTCAGTCAGACCCTCCCCGTTCAACTTCACATCGCGCTTTTTGCTTCTGAATGGCGGCTCTTTCAGTGCAGGCAAATGCATGCAGTCAGCCTAAGAGTTTTAAAAGATTGCAGGCCTTATAGCCACATGTCACTTCAGTGGCATGGCTTCTGTGAGAAAGGCTTGTCAAATGACCTTGGAACTTCTAATGCAAAAGCTAAGAACTGGGTCGCTTTTTCTGGGCCATGTGAACTGCAGTCCCCTCTTCCAGGAAAACTGCAAGGAGGTTACAGCCAGAGCCTGTGGAATGTTGTAAACGTGAAATGGTGATTATAGAAGAAAATTCATTTATCAATAATACATCGCCCTGGGGTGACTTTGAGCTCCAGCAAACATTCCTTCAAATAAAATGACATCTCTACTCCTAAGTAAAGCATACATTTGTAATAAAGAAGGAATGATTACATTGGCTTTTAAAAAATGAAACGAGCTTAATAATTAACTTATTTCCTGAGTCAAGTGCAGCCCTGAAAATAAAGGCAGGGTTCTTTCTCTTTTTCTTTCTTTCTCTGAACCTGTCTGCTGTTTTATCTTTTGGGATTCATGTTGGAAACAAAGAAATATTCAAAAAATGAATTCTCTTAGGCATAATGTGAGAGATGCAACTACTTTTGAATAATTAGCTTCATTTGTTAAATATTTGAAACATTGTCTACTCTGAGGTGAAGAATAGCAGAGTGCGAGATGAGCACTACAACTGATACACATCTTTCAGAAGACTCCTTATCAATTAATAAGAAGCAGTAGGCCCACTCTACCTCCTTTTTTGCTTATTTAGATTTTTTTCTCTACAGAAATATTTTCTTTTCAAAACGTCACAGAGGTTTTTATTTCCTTGAGTGACATGCCCTGCATTGTTTCAGAAATTGGAAGACTGCTGCCGCAGGGGGTAGGGAAGGCTGTTTTCATCTCAGTTCTACACTAACTAGCTCCACATAACCAAGGGAGCCTACCTTTGACCCTCAGTTTCCTCACCTGGAAAATGAGGTGGTATTCATGATTTCCCTTCACTATGCTCTTTGGTGACTCTTTGGATCAACAGTGAAACCATTTTAAGTGTTATTTAAACATAGAACGGACAAGCTAGCGTTGCCATCCTTGATTTGGGTCTGCTGCTCCTATTGTGGGCTATCGGATCATTAAAGGCTGGTACCAGCATCAAATTAGTTGTGAGAGGGGTTGCTCTCTGATGATCTTTTCCCCATTGCTTTGATTTACCTGGTTGTGGAATACCTTCCTTGGTTCTTAGTGAACAAGACTCCTTCGTCTTTCTGGAATTTGTTTAATTAACTTGGTCATTGTGATCATATGTTCTCCACTGACTGGTATCTTTCAGAGATCTCTGATGGTCTAGTTTTAATATAGTGCTATAGTTGCTATTCTAAGTGTGCCCCAAAGGCCTATGTGTTTAAGTATCAGTCCCCAGCACATGGCACTATTGGAAGGCAGAGGATACTTGGAGGGGTGGGGCCTCATGGGAGGTCTTTAGATCATGGGGGTACACCTTCAAAGGGACTGTCGGACACTGGTCTCTTTCTCTTCCTTATTCTCACTCCCAACCATGAGATGAATGAGATTCCTCTGCCAGGTGCTCCTGCCATGATGTGCTGCCTGGTGATGGGACCAATCAATCATGGACTGACACCTCCAAAGCTGTGAGCCTAAATAAACCTTCTCATCCCACAAGGTATTTGTTACAATAATAGAAAGCTGACTAACATGGGTTGTGTAGTTTATTATCAATCTCAGCAACAAACTGACTTCAAAACTTTCTGTAAGACTGTTTTGGTTGCATATTGCTTTATACAGTAATCTGCTGGTGGACCAGAAACCATAAACATGTTAAGTTTCTCATCAGAAATGATTTGGTTTGATCTCAGTGCCTTACTCCACACAGGAGAAGGGTTGATTACACAGACATCAGCCATGTAGGAGGCCACCTCCACCCTGCTCCTGGTCCTGCTCAGCCTATGTGGTCAATTCTGTCCTTTTGTTTTCTTGTCCTGTGTGACACTTCTTTACCTGTTGGCTTTTAAGAGTTTTAAAGATTGTTTTTTTCTCTTTAGATCACACTAAAAGTCTTTCCATTTTTTTTGCTGCCAAAATTTTCTTCAGGATCATGGTGACCTTTAAAGAATACAGAAAAATCAGTACATGATGAATATATTTACGATTTATTCACAGCTCAGGGTCAGAAACTCTCAGGCCAACTTGGGCCAGGTAGATAATGTAGGAGTCAAGTGAGCCAGGGGGAAAATCACAGAACATGATGGGAGTAGTGGAGTCCGGGGGACAGACCTCTGTCTACCAGAGTGGCCTTGCTGGGTCCAGACTGTCATTGTCCTCTGAGAGTGTCAGAGATATTGTCAGAGTTTCTCACTTGAAAAAGGAGCTGGAAATGAAGATTTTGTGCAAAGTATCCCAATTTTAAAGCGGTTTAATCTTTTTTTCTTTTTTTGCTTAAATTCTTTTATTAGTACATTTTAGGTATACAACACTTTTACATTTATCATTGGGTGTTTGTACCTGTACATGATGTATCTTGGTTCTTATTTTTTCCCCATTACCTGTGTGCCCTTCACCCCTCCATCCTTCCCTATTTACATAGACTTTGTTTCCATTTTTTTTCTTTTCTCATAATTTTTCCTTTCCATTCTTTCCTTTCAAAGTGGTTTAATCTTGAACACACATTATACTATGTCCTGACCAAATACATTATATCTGTCTATGTGCCAGCTGGTCACTTCAGCACCAGGCAGTGGCAGGGCTGGGGATTTTTTTTTTCTATGAGTGTGGGAAAGCTGATTGTCTAGAAATCCCTTCTGTCCTTCCAGACTTAGATGCTTAAGATACCTTTGTGTCTGTTTTATTAATTAAGTAACTTGCTGGAGACCCCTGTAGTCAGGTTCCAGTACCTACCTGCCCCGTGTGTGACACAGGCCTGAGAAAAAGAATACACTAAGAGACAACTAGGAGAGAAAGCGGGGTGCCAGGATGACCAATACCAGTGCAACTGACAAAGGTGCTGGCCAGTCCGAGGCACTGGCTTTCATTGGCAATCGATTGGGGTAAAGGTGACATGTGGCTTCTATGGAAATTAATGTAAACAAGGCTCATAAAGGACAAGACAAAGCATTCTCAAATTAGGAATAGAATAGACAAAATGTAATTAGAACATTGGCCTTCTAGTCTGAAGGTCTTAGTTGTGGGAACGGAATTTGGGTGCAAGTTACTCGCCACGTAGGCTTCAGCCGGACTCACTTCTATAAACAAGCCGATTGTGGGGTTAGCTTTCCACAGCCTGCTTTGGGCATACTCAGTATTACGGTCCTCTGCAGTAACTTTTATGAAATTCATATGAAGTTTGAGCACCCACACTGTATGGAACACACTTTGTCATATATTTCAATGGGGTTGTCACCTTCACTGTGACTGTCCTGTCATGGTCACCTGGCTTCCTGGTAAACATCAGGCCTGATGATAGCAGGTTTTATTCTAGAGGGGCTCCTAATTGATGCCATCCACAAAGGTCTCCTAGAATTTATTGCCTGTTATACACTGAGCACTGGCCAGAATGTGAGAGTTATTTGACTCATAGATGATTCATTTGAAATGAGTCAGAGACACTTTGTTCTTTTAATGATTCATAATTTGGATATATGTGCAAGGATTCAAATCTTCTGTTGTATCTAATAATTGATAGTGTCTGTACGCACTATATTCTTTAGAAAATAGTTTTCTTTCTTACTACAGAATAAGTGCATGCAGATATCAATTATTACTTCTTTTTGATTGGAAAACCTAAAGAAACACTGATTATATTATGATCTTTCTGCTGTGAGCTTTTGGTTAGGAGGCAGAAATCTAGTTCTGGCATTATTTCTCAGAAATATTGTTCATTAGTTACTCTTTCTA